CACTTTACCATTATCGACTGGCGAGTAACAAGTTACCACTTGTAACACTTGTACAGATAAGTGTAATATATTCAATAGTGTAGTACATGTGTATACGTTGAAATATTATACAAATAAAGGATCAGTCAGAACCAATCTCATTGGCTGACTTAAAATTATATATTTATTTTATTCATAACGAGTAAATAAATTAACTMGCGCAAAGTAGTGGAAGCAGCAACCGCGGCCCGATCAGCACCACCCAGGCGTCAAGGCGTGGCGATAGCAGGGCACTGCCCGTAAACACGGACGCTGTAAAAGGCATTCGCATGGCTGTACTGCCTCTCAGTTACCCGGTGGAGTCGCTTACACCTGATTAGGTCACGGTGCTCCAGGATCTCCTCATGGAGAAGGTGTTCAGAGGGGAGGACTATGCGGCGTCCTTCCTGGGAGTGGAGTTTAGAGGAGGAATGCTGCAGGTATACTGCGTGGATGAGGCGTCCGCTGACTGGCTGAAGGAGTACGCTCCAAAGCTCGAAGGCTGGAAGGGTCCTGTCTTTTGCGCGTGTACAAGGCCTCAAAACGGAGGCAAACRAGGTAATCTGGGACCTCTCTAGCGAAAGACCTAGAACTTGTATAGTGGTCAGGAACAACATTGAAGCGAAACGTACGAGGGCACTGGAGAAAAGGAATGTGGCGGCACTAGTGCGTATATGGATAGAAGCCGTACTGCGCTTAAAGGTTGCTGAGACCATAGTAGGTGATAGCAGTATTCGTCTCGGCACAACAAGAGGCTGTCCACAGCGGGGTGTGCTATCACCCCTGCTATGGAGTCTTGTTGTGGACGAACTGCTAACAGACAATGGAATCCAATGCCAAGGGCACGCGGACGACATTATGGCAAGAGGGAGATTTGAAGACACTCTTTGTTACTTGATCCAAAGAGGTTTCTACCTAGCGAAGGGGTGGTGCAGAGAGGTTGAACTAAATATCAACCCCTCCAAGACGTCTGTAATCCCATTTACAAGACGCAGGACCCTACCCGGCCTCAGGAATCTCCTACTGGGGGGTACTGAAATAGTCATGACCAGCAGTGTTAAGTACCTCGGTTTAACGTTGGACTCCACGCTGAGGTGGAAGCAGCACGTAAACCTGACTTTGGTCAAGGCGACAAAGGCCTTAATGGTGTGTAATCGTCGGGCAGGAAGGTCCTGGTCTCATCCCGGAGGATGGAGAAGATAAGATGTAGATGAGTTAGGAACAACACAACACATAATTTTAATTTTATCAAGGGGTGGTTCATTAACATTAATAGTTTAAGACGATTGTGGCGATTRCTGTCACACTCAGGATTTCTTTACATAAAGACAGGATGACTATATCAGGACAGCTTAGAGCATTTTTTTGGTCAGATTAGAAGTAGGGGATGTACTAGAGTTACACCTTTCATGTTCTCTAGTTTATTTAGGAAATCGTGGGGTTTACGTTACATAAATATCGTAGCAAATAGTAACTGTGAGCTGCCTTTAAAACCCGCAGCCACAGTTATTTCAGAACGTAGCCATAATGTTCTTCTTAATGTGTGCTTTCTTGGCAGGATTTAAAGGGTTTACCACGGCCCGAAGACTCTGCTGTTAGATCCATTACTTTAGATAGTAGTTTAGAAATTAACTTTTTAAAGAAAAATGCTTTTAATTATTTTTGCGGCTACCTTTATTTGAAAATTTTTAAAATGCAGAAGACATGTGTCTTCTGCCATTACCTTATTTAGGAGATGAAATTCCTTCGGATGAAGCCGCCTGAAGAATTTTTTGCATTTATTAATAATTTAGAAATAAAATTTGTTGAAGAATTTTGCAGAAATTGTCACAAAATAAGTGTAGGAGAAATTCTTTTTACTAAATTAAAGATATTATTCCCTTCTTGTGTTGTGACGACTGTGACCCGAGGGTAGTTATTTTTACTAGAATTAGAAATTATTTTGTGACAAAATTTTTAAATAAAGATTTATCTCTACCCAATTTTAAGAATAAAATTATGTGTGTTTCACATTTGTAGTTTTTATCTTTCTTTTTTAGAGGTTGCAATGAGCTAAATATTTAATACTAAAATAAGGGTTTTTAAGCAGATTCGCATTAAAAGGCTCTAAGGTTAGAACGATAAAGATTAGAAAGTTTTTAATTACAAATTAGAATTTGGGGCATAAATATTGGCATATGTACATACGTTTATTTTTATAATTTTAAGTATTATACGTTATTATTATTCTGTGATATGGAGATATATACTTTTTGTTAATTATTTTATACAATATGAATTGTTATCATTTTGTTTTTTTTTCATTTTTTTATGAAAATAAATKTTTAATGTGTGATATACGCCTACTGGAGAACCGAGCACCCAAAAATAACTTCGGTAACGCGCCCTTTWGCATACCCAAAGTTGAGTCCTTAGAAATTAGCCATCTTTGTTTGTTTTCATTTGAACAATGTTACCATTGGTCAATACGCATGTATAGTTTTGTACACATTATTACAATTTTTCATAATATAAAATATCAAAACCGAAAACAAAATATTAAAAATAGTTCATATATTTATAAATAATAGCCTTCGACTCTGATTTTGAGTTAGTTTAAGGAAATTTTAAACATATTAAAGACAATTTTTTAGAAAACTTGATTTTTACCGCAGAGTGGCTACGGTAATACTGAAAATTTACTTCTTCGCTTTTACTAGCGTAGACACCTCTTTCGTGATTATAGCCGAGTTAACAACAGCGCGCCAGTCGTTTCTGTTTTTCGTTACGTGGCGCCAATTGGATATTCTAAGCGAAGCCAGATCCTTCTCTACTTGGTCCTTCCAACGGGGTAGAGGTCTTCCTCTTCTTTAGATTCCCTTATACTATGTTCGGACCGACATTGAAAACATTTTGAAAACACATTTGTATGTTGTGGAACGTAAGTCGTTCGGACCGACAATTTGTGTTTTCGCTGAGTTTTCACTTGACAGCAAATTTATTTGTTTGTTTACATTTGAGCAACGAGAATGGTAAGTTTTGAAATCCTTAATATTTGCTTATAATTATTACTAAAGATCGTGTTTTTTAGAATTCTGAGAAAAAGATGTTAATTGCGAAAGCATTGGCTTTGAGAAGCCAAATAAATATCCTGCTCATCGATAATTCTTCAAGAGAACTATTGGAATGTCTTACTACTCAGCACTATGCCTTGGCAAAAAAGATAGCCAATTAAAGAAACAACATCTAATCGTATTAGATTTAATAAAGGATCTTGGGATGCCGATTAATTCATGTTGGACAAAAGTGTGTATATATTTCTACTGACGCAAAAGTTTTCAATTATATATTATTAATTCTAGCAACGTAAGAATCAGTTTTGGGAACACGATTGCCCACGAAACGGATCTGCTTTTTTTAAAGAGAACTTTCGCATGGACCGAAGTTCCTTTGATAAATTATGTGACATCCTCCGCCCGTTCCAAAAAATGTATACAAATTACCGAAAAGCTATTCCTATCGAAAAAAGAGTGGCTATATCATTATTTGCTTTAGGGTCATCTGCAGAGTATCGTAGTATCGCCAACATGTTCGGTGTAGGAAAGACTACGGTTTGCGAAATTTTACTGGAATTTTGCACCGAAATCTGGAGATTACTGCAGCCATCCTGTTTTAAAATGTTGCCTCTAAACAGAGAAAATATAACCGAATTGGTGACTGGTTTCGAGGTAATTGGATTCCCACAATGCTTAGGAGCAATTGGTAAATATTGGTTATAAAATCTTAAATTTGCGCTAATGTTCTAATAATTGTTTACAGACGGATGTCACATTGAGATTCATCCATCATCTGACGAAGCTGTGGATTATTATAATTATAAAGGATGGTATTCCACCGTTTTAATGGCATTAGTTGATGCTAAGTAAAGTCAAAAAACTCAATATACATATAAGCACATAAGTAATGTTTACAATRTATTTTCAGATACCGTTTTACTTACATAAACGTAGGAAATCCCGGGCGATGTAATGACTCTCAAATTTATGAGACGTCATCACTTAAGAAAGAAATGGATAGGTGTTCTTTACTAAGCGAAATGTCTAGAGAAATTTCAGGCGTAAATGTGCCAGCATTCATTATTGGGGATTCGGCTTTTCGATTTAGCAAACAACTAATGAAACCGTATCCATTTAGCGTAAATCAAAATAATGGTGAGAAGGTATTCAACTACGCTCTTTCGAAAACACGTAGAGTTGTCGAAAATGCTTTTGGACACCTCAAGGCCCGCTTTCGACGCATCGGAAAAGGAATTGACAACTCTGTACGAAATGCCAACTCCATAATAAAAGCATGTTGCGTCCTTCATAATTTTTTAAATGATAACAACGACACGCTAAACGCTAAATGGTTTCGCGCTTTGGAAGAGTTGGAGACTAGACGTCAGGATCCGTGTGATATTTCATATGCATCCGACGACCCAATTAATGGGGAAAGGATTCGGACAGCACTTTGTACATATTTTGGTAAGTATATGTGTATATGGTATCACAATGTCTACATTTTGCACCATTACATTTACATTAAATCAAAGATAAAGTTGTACACACCAAACAATATTTAATTTTATTTTCAATATATTATTTTCCATATAAAAACTCAACGTTAAACATTTTCAAAATATAAAATATATTAATTTATTATTTTTATTTATTTAGAAACTCCAGTAATCGTTTATTAGTTTCCTTAGAGTATTTCATATACTCTTCCATCTTTGCGGTTTTTTTGTTGTCGTTTTCAACCATTTTTTTTTTGTCAAGTCCATAATTTCTTTGTTGCTTTCAATGGATTCTTGACTTACTTTCTCCAGCTGTTTTTCAATTTTTTCAAATGTTTTTAATATAATGCTCTGAAAATTATTTCTTCTTTTATTATCAGAATCACTCGGCTCGGGAGACGGTACTGGCAGCGAAGAAGTATCGGTTGGCGACATCGGCATCGCTGAGGGCGATGGTAGGCATACCGGTGATGACAATGGAGATGCAGCAACAAATGTACAAGACGCAGCCGTTTTCACAGAAATTTGGAGTGGATCGGAGTTAGTAGAGCCTTTTTAAAAATGTATATATGTGTCTAAAT